TCAGACCCTGATGTTGGTCACACTCAGACCAGGCTGTTGATCACACTCAGACCCTGCTGTTGATCACACTGAGACCAGGCTGTTGGTCACACTCAGACCTGGCTGTTGGTCACACTCAGACCCTGGTTGTTTGTCACACTTACACCAGGCTGTTGGTCACACTCAGACCTAGCTCTTGGTCACACTCAGACCCAGCTGTTGGTCACACTTACACCAGGCTGTTGGTCACACTCAGACCTAGCTCTTGGTCACACTCAGACCCAGCTGTTGGTCACACTCAGACCCTGATGTTGATATCACTCATACCCCCTGTAAGGGGTGGGAAAGGTGCAATGGATTCAAACTCAGGATCACCTGATACAAATGGACACCAAAATAGGGCTATCTGGCTGTGATCATGTAGTCAGCTGTTAAATATTTCACCTCTTTACAGGATCAAACAATCAAATGTATCCATTCACTTTCTGCTAGCATGTAAACAATTTACCAACAAGAATGGAACATCTTGAGACATGAACAAGTAATTAAGTAAAGATCTGAGGTATGCTTTCAATTTCTACTAAATGTATTTTGTGTTTATTCAGGAAATGAAATTCACAAGACAGTTCTGAGCTATTGTTGACCTTGGGTAAAACACTTTACCCAATTAGTGTTACAGATCACGAGACAGACCTTGTGGTTGATGCTGAGTGAAGTAGTGCCCAGCTTCTGTAATGATTCCACCTTATAAATGACTCTGGCTGTTCACACTCAGTGATAAACAAAGCCAAAAGACACATCCTTATTCAAGATTAACAAGAACTGTACGACTTAGAGGCGATTACTTTCCAATTAAATATCATCTTAACTTTTTTCTTATAATGCTGTTCAGGGAGAAATCTAGCAGCTTCCTAATTCAAACCTTCGTGTCTTGTACTTTATAAAGAAAAGACAAGGAAATGCCTAGGTAACCAAATACACAGTTATCAGATATTATCAGGAGGGTTGAATTGTAAATGAACTCCATGCATTTAATATTCTGATTAAATAACAATAACTCTAATTCTAAGCAAAAATTCTATCATCAATGCAAAATATATAGTATTAATGTCACTATTTTCATCTTTCATTTTTATTTCAAATAATTAAGACATACTAGCGTTCAATAATTTATACCTGCAGTTTCTTCTTTCTTAATCTATTATATTTACGTTATAAAATCTTAAATCTTACATGAGGTATCCATCTTGATAAATAACAAAATACTCTTGAACAAATAAATGATAAGAAAACATTTCAGTCATTAAGACAGGCTGAAATAAAATCCATGAACACAAAGCAATTCATTTTATTTTTGCATAGTAATTTTATATCTTGTAAGTATATTGACACATATATTAATTATAATATCTCCCATTTAGGGCCCTTACTGCCATTTTCATATCGTTGAAACCTTTACATCCTTGGGTGCTTCACAGAAAGGAAGCAGTGTATATCCAAACAATCATTGTAATTTGACCAGACCAGATGCTATATACACGGTTTTCAAAAAAATTAGAATTTTGACATCGAGTCCAACCTTTCTATTCACAAGAAATCCACAACCTTCATATTAACATGAAATCCACAACCTTCAAATTCACAAGAAATCCACAACCTTCATATTAACAAGAAATTCACAACCTTCAAATTCACAAGAAATCCACAGCTTTCAAATTCACAAGAAATCCACAACCTTCATATTAACATGAAATCCACAACCTTCAAATTCACAAGAAATCCACAACCTTCATATTAACAAGAAATTCACAACCTTCAAATTCACAAGAAATCCACAGCTTTCAAATTCACAAGAAATCCACAACCTTCATATTAACAAGAAATCCACAACCTTCAAATTCACAAGAAATCCACAACCTTCATATTAACAAGAAATCCACAACCTTCAAATTCACAAGAAATCCACAACCTTCATATTAACAAGAAATTCACAACCTTCAAATTCACAAGAAATCCACAACCTTCATATTCACAAGAAATCCACAACCTTCATATTAACAAGAAATCCACAACCTTCAAATTCACAAGAAATCCACAACCTTCATATTAACAAGAAATTCACAACCTTCAAATTCACAAGAAATCCACAGCCTTCAAATTCACAAGAAATCCACAACCTTCAAATTAACAAGAAATTTAACCTTCAAATTCACAAGAAATCCACAACCAATTAGTTTCCTATGACCCAGAAATGCTCTTGTTTCACATGAATTTAGAAACTTTTTAATGAATAATCGGAACCACTTACATTTTATTATTGAACTCATTCCTCTCCCTCTAAAAGTCACAATGACTTATTCATAAAAACCCAAAACATTACTAACATTATAATTACCAGGTATATGTGATTAATAACTGCATTATTATAATGTTGTTTTTCTTACATATTTACAAATAGGGCTTAAAAAGATCAAATGTATGTAAAAGTAACATATAAACAGAAGTACTCATGACACACAAATGTCACATGATTTTCTATCAAACTCAAAATTTCAAAATCTTACTTTTTCTACAGAGAGTTATATTTAAAACCAAGGGACAACTGTATGTTAAAATTTTCCAAAATATTTCATCTAAATGTATAACCTAATATGGTAATGTTCAATTAATATTTATGAAGGTATGTACTAGATTCTATCCAGATCTGGAGTAAGTGTTGGTGAATTCACCAACACATTTCACTTTTTTCAATGAAATACACACTATATACTAATTGAAGTCTTTGATAATCAGATTCAAAGCAGATTAACTCTAAAAATGTACAATGAAACTTCAATATCTAAATATCAAACAATCCAATTTGTAAATACCATTGTAAAAGTCTGCATGCACTGATTTTTCATTGGCAGCAAGGTCCATTAACAAGGCACTGGATCCACCTGCCTACAAAGGGAAAATTATCTATGATACATTTTGTATTTTATAATAAATGTTGTTCCAACAATGAAGCCAATAACACTCCATCAGAAGCTACATTTTGACTATAAATATACAGCATTTATACCTAAAGGATGGAAGGCCACATGTATAACATAACATCCTTAAATCACAACAACATATTTCTGTCAACTTTTTTTATTTACCTCAGTCAGCAAATATGGACATGCACATGTATATTTCATTCTTGTTTCAAAAAAACTTATTTCAAATTACATTCCTGTTACAACATGTCTGTCCTATATTATTACTATAAGAAGTTACTAAAATTGGAATTTTCATATCTACTTTTCATGAATTTTTTAACTCCCCCAGCTTAATTTTGAAGCAATAACCAATTTACCAAACTTTGTTTGTGTTTTATTTACTGGATATTTTCAACCAAGAATGTGGCATGTAACAGGTAAATCTGGCTATATAGGCAGATGTAGCTTTGTAGTCAAATCTCACTCTACATATATAAGGCAAATGTAAACATCTAGGTGAGGTCAGTGAAATGAATGTTTGGGCATATTTGCTCAATTTCCGGTGATTTTTAGGAATTTTTCATCACAAATTTTCAGTATCCACATACTCATTCTATTTACTGTATTTTCCTGATTATAAGCAGCACCATTTTACCTCTTGAGTCGGATGTGTCGCTTATATATTCCGATATGGTTTATATGTGGACATAAAAAAAATTGGCAGGATGTAAAAAACAGGAAGTGTACCAGGACGCCAGTACAAGAAGGTATTGATTTTTTTTTATTATCAGTACCTGCAAGTCATGTGTGTGACTGGAACAGATCATCTTGAACCATCATTTGCAATCATATACAAGATGATTTGAAGATTGAAATAAAAATAACATTCTTGTGGATTCAGTTAATCATACCTTTTCATATGAATAACAATAATATCTTCTGAACTTTCGTGGTAACTTCGAAGCCATTCAAAAGGTTACAATAGCCTTTTGCATCCTTGGATTGATAGGTTGTCAGATTATAGGTCAGATTCTAGAATGATTGCAATACTTGTTTACAAGAAGAAATAATATGGGACTATAAAAATTTGGTCATCATGCATTAATATATAACAGTACAGACACCGATGGGGAGATTGTTTAGTAAACTGAACGTATCATCATGTGCGTAGACAATCTGTGAAGGCACCTCAGCCAAACAAGTTTAATATTTGCTATTTTGTGGTTTTTTTTTTTTTAAACAAATTGATAAAGATAAAGCAATATGTGTATATTCATTTGCAAACTTTATCAAATGTTTCACTGATGATCTTGATAAATAGCCCTCTGTTGTCTGTTATATCAATAAACTTTGATCAATGTAAGGATTACCACTTCGTAAAATCTGCCTTCCGTTATCTGTCAATGGTTTATCAAACGTTAATAATAGAGTTCACTGTCTCACCATATCGTAAAAAAGATGCGGCTAATATTCTGGTGTGAATTTCATGTGATTTAATCGCTAAAATCTGGCCCTGCGGCTTATGTACCAGTTCAGTTTATAACCCCAAAAATATGGTAGTATTAAATTCATTCACTTTCAGCATGATGTTAACATGCAGACAAATTATAACCTGATATGAATGTGAACTGTATGGTTGAAATATGCACCCCATGATTGCAACCACGTTTGGCTCAGTTGTTTACATTTGCCCTATATTCGTTTAGTCAGATATGAACATATACCCAAATCTGCCGATTTAGCCAGATTTTCCGGTGCTCCAGTACATGTATAAGCTTCACTCTTTCCAGCCATTGCCTGGCTCACATTAGAAAATGTTGACGTCATGTCTCTTCTCAATTTACACAACAGTAATGCAAAACAGCAATTGAAATCATTGAAAAGTATTCATATGAAAACTGCCAAATGCTACGTCTGGTGTTCCAGCACTGGTAAGTCTACTCATTCATACTAGTACCCGAGTAAATTGCTGGCAGGTACTGTTGTGCTTAAAGGTATCGGCAGGGTAAGCGACATATGTATATCATTTGCGTTGACGTCTAAATATGACTTACGTACCTCTTCAATGTCCATATAGGGTCCAGCTCCCTCTGGAAACATTTCATCTGCAACTATCGCTGGTTTCATTTTCACTCTATAAAATTTCCGTAACTTCCGGATTTTATCAAACTGGATCAATGTAATTTCAAAATGCAAAGGTCAAAAAGAACGAAACGCAATCATGAAGCAAACGACTTCTCTTTTATATCCCTTTTTACTTGTGTGCCTGAAGGCATATTTTTAACTTCCGTTTAAAAAGAATTTGTGATATTCTAGACGCATAACATTTCAACAAGACATGATTTTATGCGTTTTCCTTCGTTCCACTTCTATAATTTTGTAATTTATATAGACATGTGAAGGTCACATGCAAACTCGTCATATGACATCCGCCTGCTCATCAATTCAGGGATTGCATTTTGTCGAGGAAACAGGTAAAATGACACACGTTTTCTAATGATTCCTTTCACTAAATAATTCAGAAAGTTTTGTACTGTTTGTAGTAATTTTCATGTTCTGTAAACATATCCATTCTAACAGTACTTGCAGTTGATAATTTTAAAGAGCATATGATTCAGAGATTGTTTATTCCACTGGTTTCTTGCTGTTACAGAAAGGCCTAGACCGGTGTTCAGCAGTTTGGAACAAAATGAGGTCGTACGTGTGTGCAGGGATTGCATGTGTTCTCTTATCGAGTCTCTCAGTTGGTAAATATAGCATTGTCATTAATGAAATCTGTCATTGGGAATGTTTTTGACAAAAAGGTCCTCCCTTGGGGGTGATAGGTGACAACCATGACCTTAGTTAAATAGGTATATTGAATAACTACTGCCTGTTGATCATTGTTTTCATATAATCATGCCATAACTTCTCTACATCTATGATAGTGAACAAACATTTTTCTTCTTTTTATCGGAGCTGGTCCAAGTATAAACAGGCATCCATCACTTGAACAACCCCTCCTATCTTGATTCTTTTAAGCAGATAGAATATTCAGTCTCAAAAAAACATTTGGTTGTTTCATTTTAAAGCTGATTTTTTTTTTTTTTACACATTTTAACAATTTTTGCTGGAGTTCTTATTGATCTTATTTAAACACCTCATTGGATTTATGATCGTTTGCTGGATTTCAATAAAAGCAAAGCAGATCATTGTGTAAAACAAATCATCTGGGCACCAAAAACTATGAGTATTAAAATGTTGCAAAATACCAAAACATCTTGCCAAATGCAATTGAGGTATGTGGCCAGACACAAAAATCATGTGCACCACCATTCAGTAATTTTCTCTGAATAAAGGGAGTTAGCTGTCAAATTTACATGATGTGTGAGCTATTTATACATACATTGTAGAGAAAGTGTGTTTTCTTTTTATATTTCATTTTTCCACGTATGATTAATTATAATGCTTCAGAAACAGATTTATGTGTACCAAGACATACAAGAGGGCAATGCATGTAACACGTAACACTATATCAGATTCCAAATTATCAAATAGTGTACATACTTGGACAAGTGTGTAGCAAGTTCATGTTTATTTGTTTTTCATTTGTGTGTGGGAAAAAGCTTTTTTTATAATTCCCCAACCCTCCTTTTTTTCTTTTTTTTTTCATTAAGGACAAGAGGTACATTTGTTAGAAAAATCTGAAGACACATACAAAACATACAACAGTTATTTTCGTATGGCCTTTTTTCGTGGTTATTCCATCGTATCACATGTAAAACTTTAATGAGATCAAGTTATAAAGAGATAGGGTGAGTTCTTGGGTGTAGTCCCACAGGAAAAGCAGAAGTCCAGGACTCAATTATTTGAGTTACAAAATTACTGGATAAAATATCTTATAATGATAGGGATATCATATGTAAGTACTTGTATAATAAAATACTAAAACAGCAACAGCTTATAGTGGTTGGTATAACAATATCTCAATCATATTGGCAGGCTTATGGATATATGCTTGTATATATGAATTACAAGTGAAGTAATATTGATAGACAGGACAGAGTTTTGTGTGGCATATTTACAAAGTGATCTGCCTCTAAATCTAGACTCAAAATTGAAAAAAAATGTATACAATACATTAAAAACATGAAAGAGATATTTTCAATGCGAGTCTGTTCAGTGTTCATCATAATATCACTTCCTTCAATTCAGTCTATTGCACAGAAGGATATAAAAATTCTTTAGATAATAAATTCAGATAAATAATAGAAAAAAAATATAAATTTTAAAGTGTAGGTTCAATTATCAGATTACTTCTCTTTCCTTTTATTGCTAGAAACAGTATTTGTATGGATACCTATATATATTTAGGTCAATACATAAAACTGATGCACTTTCATGATCAGTGATAATGAAGTGTCTCAACTCGTGTTGATTCCCGTAATTTAAAGTTGACCTAGAAATGAGCCCTCTGTAGTTATCTAACAATTCATAGCTTCTTTTAAGTGCTTTACGAGCCCTCTGTAGTTATCTAACAATTCATAGCTTCTTTTAAGTGCTTTACCTATTTTTGAGCAAATCTTTCAGTAAACATAAAATATTTATAAGGCAATAATTACAAGCCAGCCATGTTCTCATTAAAATCCACCTCATGGCACCATTCATCACCTCTAAACCTGCTTTTCAGAAAATACATTGTATGATGCTACAACGTGTTGGAATTTAGCAGCCTATTAAACTATTTGTTTCAAATATCTGAGAACACTGTCAGCAGAACTGTTTAGGTGCAATATCTCAATCATTTCAAGAAGAAAAGTCTATAACCCAGAGGCCAATTTTAAATACCAGAAGTTCTAAAGCCAGAATTACTCATGGAATTTATACACTTTACAAATTTAATAAATGTAAGGTTTTGGTAACTTTGTTATTTATTGGTAAAGAATACACTTAACAACTGTGCACTGTACCGTCTGATTACCTAATATATTTCTGTGACTCAAGACAGCTGCACTGTGATACATTTTGACTTCACTTTTGTGTTTGTGTTGCATACAGATACTTCACCAAAGTTTAGGTGTCTCATCTCCTCATCATTTATATTTGTACATGGGTCAGTGACCAAGAGATCATTATTGTTGCAATATTAATGTATAACCATGACCTATGTTGTATGGAGATAAATGAACTTCTGAATGTTCACACTCTCTGCTTTTTAAAGGTTTTATGAACAAACATTTGATTTTCTCTGAATTGAAGGCAAAATGAATAACTTCCCAGTTGGCGGAAACACCCCCTGATCAGTTTAAAATTAGAATGTGTAAATATAGCATGTTTTCACGTAATCATTGTGAAACAAATATTTCGGTTGTCCAACAACATCCGTGCTGCATCTTCGTTCATTTTGCACTGGCTGTTCTCTTCCATAAATTGCTGCCACCTCTCCGACTGTTTCCCAATTGTGGTTTTGTTTCACTTTTTTCTCTGACGTAGAAACCATTTTCTTTTGCCCAAAATGTGTCTAAGTGGAAGTTGCCAATTTTGTTTACAATGTGTTACACAGGCACAAACCTGTTGTGATGTCATCAGGGCAGCATGAATGTTCGTAAACATCTAGCTAGACCTAAATGGTATTTCCTCAAATTTAAATAACGAAAGTTGATTTCTTTGGAGGAAATTGAGTCGTGCGATCTCCATAAGAATATAAGTAAAACCTTTGAACAATTTTCCTAAAAAGCATCTTATGATATCCTAACTTGGGTCAAATATCCATTTTTAGAGTTTATGCCAGCAGGTGAAGAATGAAAAATCGGCATTATATACGCAGTACAGTACAAGTAAACAGTGTATGTTTGTAAATTTGTCAAATGTTCATCACACTTAGCAATAGATCTGTGTTTGACAGTAACTGAAAGCGATTATGAATAATGATAAATATCACCAATGAGGTTGAACATGAGATATTTGTGAGATGTTTACATCAATGCCATCATAACTTTATTGTCTTAATTCATTTGTGTGATCATGACTCTGATCAACCTTTTTAATGAAAATTGTACTAATGACTTTGAATGTATTGATAAGGGAAAAGCATTCAAGTAATTACAAGCAATCACAAAAAATAGGATGAGTAACATTTTTACTAAAGCTGTTATTGTAATTAACATGATAATAAAAGCAACATCAATTAAAAACATGGGAAATAAGTTTGAATCTCAAATGTATTTGTATTAGAAAGAGATGTTTGGCCAAAATGTGTTTTGAAGTGTATACATGTATATTTATAAGTATGCAAATAAGCCCCCTTCTAACTTATGTGTGTTTTCCTGATCCAGGAATGTGTGTTGGGGTTGTTCAAACAATTAATTGTACATCATACTGACTGGCATTCAGGTCACACCATCCATGTTTTTTTTTAAATGATTTATCTTACATACTTTTGAGAATATTGTAAATAAGGACTAAGTAACCAGTTAGAAGTATTTTGCTTAAGTTTTGTGAATCAGACATTAAAACGAGTGAACTTTTCACTTCCTAGCTGTAGATTAAAATACATGTGTCTGGTTTAAGTTTTGGTTCCAGGTGTTGTAAATGGAGTCTGATCTCGCCATGTTGTAATTCTCCGTGACTAGTCTACATTAAGGGTTTATATAAATTGAACAGTGTTTTTTTTCAGTTATTAATCAATAGTAACAAAATTGCCAACAGATATATTCTTATGTAAGTTATGTATACTTGTCAAGTCATTGATCATGTGATCAAAGGTACAACAATTATCAAATATGGCAGATGTGTACTAATTTACAGGGGATATGTTTAGAAGTTAGCCCCCTCCCTATGTTTGGTCAGTATTTTTGCACTGGGATTGGAGGTTTATTTGTAGTAAAATATATGATACGCTGAAATCATGAGTACTGTACATTTAAACCCATGTGATGAATGTTTGACTTGACTGTGTATTGGTACTTGATAAGATAGATGTTATTAATAACAGTCATGTGATGAAATGGCTAAGTCCTGTGACGCAGATCTATATCAGAATATATGTAGTTGTAAACACAAGTGTATTGATATCACATTGCCTCAGACATGTACCAATCATTATCATATGATTTTATCTGATGTTCAGTTAGAAATATGTTTATATCCTTACCAGGCTTTTGATTTTGACCTAGCTTGAAATAATATATTTTTGAAATACTCGACACATATAACTTGAATTTGGTAGAGTATTGTGAAAGAGGTTTTTTTTGGAAATTACTGACATAAATCTTGGTAATTAGTGATAATCATGTATACACATACATGCATTGGTTATGTATCTCGGTAAACTGGCAGAAGGACTAGATACTCTGGGCTGTTGTGGTTCCTTGGGTAGATGTTTTGGTCTCATTGCTGATGATGGCATATGGACATGTCTTTGCATATTGGTCATTATCGAAGCTATAGAAGACCTAACCTCAACATGACCCTGGCTTTCACAGGTTATTTAAGTAAGGTAAAAATCACTTGATTGGTAACTTCTAGGTTTTATGGAAATTGATGACAAGTTTTTACCTTAAAGTGTAGGATTGGTGATCTATCTATTCCAGTTGATGAGTTTTTGGTGAAAGAGGTCTGATTTATTTTACCAATTATAAATATATCTTTTATAAATATATATTCATGTATTATATAGTATATTAGGTATGTGTGTGTTTACAGGGGGAAAAAATAATAAAACCCAAGTCAACAGACCATAAAATTGCACCTCATTGTTTATTTGTGTTTTGTACAAGATAACATCACATTAGTTATGACATCATCACAATAATTAATACATTTCCTTTCAAAATAACCCCAAAGAGCCTCTGAAAAGGTGAAAGCACTAGTTCATTTTAGGCATTGGTTAATTTTGTTTGTTATTTTAGCAGTAGCTCCTTAAAACTATAATTTTGACCTTCAAAATTTTCAACTTTAGACAAGATTTGTTTGATGGTATTATAATTAATTTTCATACTTGGACAAAATGTTATTTCGTGACTCTAGCTGAAGCTATCTACTCAAGGCCAAATGCATGTATATATATTAACATTATGGAAACCCTGCAGAAATTTTTGTATGAGACTAATGTTTGACTATAAAAAGTCATTAAGCAGACTTACACATTATAAGGAGTATCAATTTATTTTGAATTAAGAGATTGATTTGTTAATTAGTAGAAATCTCACTAATTATCAGGTTATCAGTAATATTATTGCTTCATATGATTTGTTCTTTTACTATAAGACTGTATACAGACATCACTTGTTGCTACATACATAATTTTATTCAGATGCATTATATGATGTTATCTGTACTGGTGGGTCAGTAATGTTTGTATATGTAACATATCAGTCTTGGCTTTTTTCCCAATAAGAGAATATCTTATGTATTCTTGATAAAGTTTACTTATTATTATGTACTTTAAAATCATAATTTTTGGTTGAATTTTGGAGTATACTCTTATATGTCTACAATATGATAAATAGATAAAGGTTTACATAGATTATACTACTAGCAGATTTCACAAGCTTTATATATTCAACAATGAAATTAAGTGCCAAAGAAATGTATTTTTTTGGAAAATCGTGAAATCTGAGCCTCATGAAAAAGGAACGATTTTACAGTATACCAATAATTGTTCCTTGTAGGAAATATCAACAACGAAAATTCCTTATCAGCCTCTGTTACATAGATATGGTTAAGGCTATATGATTTTAATAGGGAGAGTTATCATGACCAAAATTCTAGATACAGAAAAAAGAATTTACACACATATAGATCTATATTTGGCAATCTGGTACCTTGAAACATAAAAGATCATTAGCATACGTAGAGATCTGCATTTGGCAATCTTAAACCTTGAAACAAGGTATTTTAAGCTGCTTTCTTCATTTGGATGCATTAGAATTCCTGAAAATTATGAGCAATTTAGAAGATGTATTGATAGTTTCTGTCAAAAGTTAGAACCAGAGTTTTAGAGGTATTATTTGAGGTAAGACTTACACATGAGACCCATTTCAGTTTTAATGAGAGCTTCTGCTTTAGATTTTAATCAAATTAATACTTTAATTTAGCAAATTAACACTACCTAATGGTAGATTAAATGATCTAAAAGGTATTTTTGGGTTAACCCTATAGGAAATCCTTGTATTCCAGTCACTTGTGGTATGTACATGATACATAATCTATAGATATCATATCATTATTGATCATGTATGGTATTTGATGAAGACAGATTTCACAAGCGTTGCACATGCAACATATAGTCTAGTATGTGTATATGCCTGTATATACATACTTGCAGTGAGCTTTTGTACATGTATGTACCACAGTTAGTACAGATATATCCAGAATATCCAGAAGCAGTGACCCTCTACTACATGTTTGTCAGTAATCAAATAATTCACTCATACAAGAAAAGATATCTTTACGGATTAGTATATAATAAAAACCATGAATATATTATAATATTTTTGTTGTTAGCTGGAAACCAAGGCTGCCAAAATTAACATTTATGATCTAAAGAATGTTTAAAACCTACGTGTGTACATTTCCTAAATTCATGCAGACTGAACCTGGTCCACTGTAAATGTTGAAAATACTGATGACTGGGAAGAAATCATTAGAATAACATTGTTATGGGGATGTTTGGTATTTTGATATATAACCATAAAGATAAGGAATTAAACTGTATACCCATCATGTGTGTTATTTCTCAGATCTTTTTAAAAAAAAGTTGGTCAAATTTAATATCAAACTCAAAAGTTTGATGCCTGAATTGAATTCAAATTGAATTGATTCCAATGTTTTGGAACAATGTGAACAAACTATTTAAGATTAACTTGTGTCTGTTGTACCAAGAGTTGTAACATGTATGCTGAAGTTAATATTTAAAGTATCCTGCACATTCTAGGCTGTACTGATAGGATTATCTATTTCTGGTTGGGATGTCATCATAATATCACATTTATTCAAGTTTTACATGGATTTTTCAGCTAAATTACTGGTATGTGAAATTTTGTGCATAATTCTTGTGGTTTGATAGATTTAAGGTTGATAAGCAGATTATCTTGCTAGAATGAGGAACATGAAACATAAGTGTTGGCGGTAAGAAATAAAAATTCTGAGAAAGTTTTAGTATTTATTAGTAAGTTAAGCCCATAGTTAATTCTTAAGGCCTGGAATTAGCATCACTGACAAGCCTTGGACGGTAGAAACAGCTGTATGTTCAATTGCCAACTAAATATGTACTGAAAGGTTCAATTCCTTTAACGTTTTATGTGCATCACACGTGTTCTGTATGTACACAATGGTTGTACAGACGAGAAGATTACTTTAGTTATATTACTGAAAATCACTTGTAATTTTTTGTGGGATTTATTCTTTATTCAACTCTAGATGCCATTCATAATGATTTGGTTACTAATATCAGTGTCTCTTAGAGTCCAGTTCTCTAAAAGCTCATCATTCAAGAATTTAAAGGCATTTCTGGATCAGAAAACACAAAATTATGTATTCGCAAATATTTCTGAAGAGGTAATCTCACGAAATAAATTATTCACATAATTTAGGTGATTTACAGTATATGAAGGGCACTGTGTACTGTGAATATTTCTCTGATTCTACTGTAACTAAGAGGGTCATATGGACCTATTTTGTAAACAGAGAAATAAGCTGACAGCCTCGATTAGATCTACAAAATAAATTGGTGAGCTGTTCTAGATCAGTGTAAAAACTACTTGAATCAGTAAAAAAGAAATTCTCAGGTGTACCTAGTTTTAGATAAAAATATTCAAATGGCAATGATATCACTAATGAAATTGAAACAAGAAGTTGTTGTATTGATTTTTTTTACTGATATACCAAGCTAATTTGTAAAAGAAACATTTGAAAAAGATTCCCCACACAAAAAAAATCATCCACACAAGAAAATTAGAGAGTAACATTTTTAACATTCCTAGAGTTGATGTTCCTTTTACAGAATTTTTTTGATTAAATTTACATGTCAACAAAGCCATAAGGCTGGATAATATCAGTGTACAATTTTTGAAATACTGTACCAAGTCTTTTACCCCAGTTGTTTGTAAATGCTTGTACTGGCACAAACTGTTTTCCAGAAAACTGAAAGTGTGCTAAAGTAAAACCTCTTTTTAAAAGGGTAAAGAAAAGTTATTTGAGCAGGAGATTTCAAATTAAACTTTTTAAGAGCACTCTTGAGTGATTATCTCCCCATTTCAGTTGGTGTCACATAATGTTCAATAATGGACCCACTATCTATTCTGTATGTAGATGACCTTCCCCAAATCACTAAACAAAGTGATAAATATGTGTACGCAGATAATACTGCAGCCAGCCTCATTCTAAATCACTTGATATTCTTAATAAAAACCTTAATGATGATGCTGAGTTAGTGTTAGTATGATATAAACAAACTTGTTAATACTTAGCAGGGGAAAAGTAAATTTAATGATGAACTATTAACAATGTAAGTATTAAAAATTTAAAGATGGAAAAACTGTCGTTGATAATTGTCACTTTTATAAGACAACAAACAGAATTATTTTAATCTGTGATATATCTACACCTATTTGTGGTATGTTCAAATGCCTAAAATGACTGCCTTTTAGTAAACAAATTTTATACAATCAAGCAGTTTTTTTTATATAAAAGATACTCGATAACCTAGCTCCACAGAATTTGAATTGTTTTAGCAATATATATGGATGTCCATAACAGATGTACAAGTATTGTAGACAGATAAAATACATGGAGAAGTCAAATGCTTTGCTGATTTCTCAAAAGAAGTGCTATTCCTCATGTGATTGGTAAAAGATTCCATGTTAAAGCTCTTTGACCTTTTAAAAATGTTTGTCTTGTGGGGTGGCAAGTAAAGTACAGTCATAGATGAAGACATGTAGATGAAACAACTCAAATGCTGTGGAGCTTAGTTATCTTATACATTGTATTCTGTTGTATATGTCATCTGCATTTGATCTTGTCCATGTTTAAGATGGGCTGGACTTGCTATAAAGTATAAAGAGGGATAATTGTTAGACTTTCTGTTTATGGATTTGACAAGTTTTCATCAACCTTTAAACCTCTACACCAATGTGACATTTTATGAACTTTTTCTAAATATTTAAATGTCCATCTTATCTTTCCAGTTTCATCCCTTGATTGGGATTTCAAACAAGGCCAGACTGCTTGCATCAAAGTAAAATGGGAAGTACAGAACATGGACTTAACGGGAACTTCACCCACAGGCGAAGGACGAAAGGTTTGAAAGTTTATTTTATGTTTGATCTTTGGTGTATCATCAAATGTCTACAAAATTTCTCTTAAACCTCTTGTCTTTTTTAGTAACAAACATTTCAAGGGAGAAAGAATTGATGATTTGTACATATCAAAAGTTTTTGGCCTTTTAGACGTGTAAATAGTGAGCTGCTCTAATCGCCTTGTGTCAATGGTAAGCCCCTTGCCAGTCCTGAAAGAAAATACTTAATATCAGTATTTCTCCAATTTCCTTTTGGATTTTCCTTGGTGCCTCATTGTACCCTTTCGATTTTCATACATGATCAGAAATCAAAATGGCTGACATGTGACTGTCATGGGTTTTGAAGATATGGAAAGCTAACTGTTTTCTCTGTTACCTTGAAAGTGAAAGATGGATCTTTGTCTTTGACTTAAGAAAAATACAATGGCTGACAGGGGACAATCTTAAGTGTTGACTGTGAAACTTTGTTAGCACTATCTTTTAGGAAGAACTTGATGTATCTTTCTAAAATTTCATAATATTAGTTGGTTCCCTTTTTCTCTTGTTGTGCCCTTTTGTTCAGAAAAAATGGATGATAAACAATCATTATGTATCTGACAATTAAAGGTCATCGCTAAGAAAAAAAATTCAAATTCCATGTAATTAAGAGCATCAACATGGTACATAAAAGAAGGAGAAAAAGAGCAAATAAAAATAAAAATGTAGTGGTGGCTAAGATTTCTTGTGTATGGTAGAGAGGTATGTATTATGTACATGGGCCTACTAGCAGGTCTGTCTCTAGTAAATTTGTCTGTATTAGATCTAGATCTATTACCACAGTTTCGCTTGAACTTTAAATTGCCTCATTACCAGGCATAAGACATTTTGTAAACAGATCAGGATTGAGACAGGTCAAATATTCTCTGGGAATGTAGAAAATATCCAGTTTCATGTTGCTAAATTCTAGGGCGCTAGCAAAAGAAATTTGTATACAAGTAATACGTTGTTGTCCTTACATCTTTAGATATTGATTTTTTCCAAAACTTATTTTCCCTCAATCAGCTGTTCTATGTCAACAGTACAGGACTTGACACAGTTAGAAAATTTCACATTTTATTGCCATCAACATTTTGAAGTTATAACTAACCAATGAAGGAAGAACACAATGAACTAGAAACAAAGATCAGGATGTATTTTAAAAAAAAAGTTTTTTGTGCACAAACTTTATTATCTGTTATCATTGTATGAAATAATTAGAGAATTTGAACGAGGGGTATCCAAATTTGAAATTAGATCTGTGTGGTTAATTGTAAAGAAAACTCTGTGATAGATATGTACATAAAAATTTGTTGGAGCGTGGAGAGGTAGCGATTTTAATGTAACTTTGCAGTGAAATGAACAGGTACATTTGTAAATTTGATTTCAGGCAAAGGTAGAACCAGCAGCAGGTAAAGTGAGCAGCCTATCCAAATGTCCAAGTAACGGCATCAGTACTCTGAATGTGGATTTTCCTGATGATGTGAGTCTGTCATTTACCTTTATTGAAAAGGATAACATGGTGATTATGGATGGTACTTTGACCTTTGTTCCCTTCAAGGTGCTTGGAAATTCGTTTGAAAATATAAGTAAGTACTTTTCTTACCAAGTAGTTTCTGGTTTATATAATGGATTGATGTTTTCAGCATACATACAAGAAAATTGTGTTCTAGTTGATGAAGAATAGTTGACAGCATCTTGTTGATGAATTCATTTATGGAATATTCAATAATGGTGTTTGATGAAATCATAGAATGGAAGTATTACCAAGGATTATTCAGTCTTTTAGAAACAAGTGTCATCATTATATTAAGGTCACTGGATTCATCTTGGCTGACCAAAAGTTACTAATAGAGCACACATTAAACCATATGTTGTCTGATTCTTTGGAATGAGACAAGGATTCAAAAACATTCAGAGAAACCGGTATATTTAATTTAAAGTGCTTGTAGTTATATAATAGACGAAAGTGCTTGTAGTTATGTAATAGACGAAAGCTCTATGGCTGATAGTCTGTCACAAGCAAAGCCAAAAATCAGTCTTGAGAGTAAGTTTCATTAGGACTACATAGTTACAGAGACCCTACAGTGATCACTCTATTGCTCAGAAACACAGGTGTGCACTTCATAAATATCTAACAAGACATAGTAGAGCCATGAAACTTTGTATGATTGTTAAACACTAGTAGATGTCACCTACCATATTTTTTGTTTGCCCTCAAAAGGTCAAGTTTTCCAACTTTGCATTTTTCATGGAATCCCTGTATTTGCCTATGTGTGCACCTTCTTGAAACACATTTATGTCTGCTTCATAATTTTTTACTAGACATTGTCGAACATTGAAACTTGTATATTTGTTAAGCACTATTAGAAGATGTGTCACCTACCTAACTTTCATTTGTCCTCTAACAATCAAGCTCTCAATCTTTGGATTTTCACATGAACTCTATATTGAACCTCAGATAGTTGTGGCCACATCATTAAGATTTGTACTTTGTAAGGATGAGGTTTGGCTACACTATATGATCAACTACAGAGAGTCGTGTTCACTCAATGACTTGGCAATCAGTTAAGGCTTGTCATAATGGGGGGGCCCTTAGAGATGGTCTTCGTCTAATTGTCAGCAAAGTAGAGTTGATCTTACACACGAACAAGTTGTAAATCATATCATTTTTTTCATGTGTCATTCTGTTGAAAGTTTTATAAAGGGACTTATGGATTGTTATACCCCCTATTTGATGAAAAACATGAGTACATTACTTTATAAAACTAGGATACCAATATATGATATCAGGGTCCTTGTAGAGTTTAACTTTATCCTGGAGTTTGTGTAACTGATATTTTGGACATGTTTGGGACTTATTTTTTGTGTCTGGTAAAGATTTTGATGCTAGTGTTGAAAGACATCAGCACACCTACTTGTATCAGGGTCCCTAAAGGGTTTTATTTTCCAGTGTCCAACAAAAGATTTTGTAGTATCTACAGAAACTTCTGAAGCAAGATATGTTGTTTTTCAACAGCTTGCTCTTGTTTCACATAAAAGTTGTTAGTTTTCCTAGAAAGTTTCAAAAGTGGCCATGGCAACTAACATATCAATGATATTGACTTTAATTTTAATCCTGTCAGACTGCCAATATTGATTAAGAGGAACATTTTTAATTAAGAAAAAAAAATTAATTTTTGTGTTTTTTGACATTTTCTGCATTGTGATGTTTCTTTTTTCAGCTAGGTTGTCTCTGAATCGTCCAAATAGGACATCACACAAATTAAGCGGATAGTGAGATTAAATTTCCAGTACTTCATTCTCTTTCATGTTAGCATTCCTTTCCAGTGTGTAATTTCATTTATATTGATTAAGACTATACAAATTGTTAACTTGACTTTGAAAACTAAAAGTTACGAAATGCTCTAGTAACTTTTTTTTTAAATAACGTGATATTCATAGTTTTAATTTATCTTCGTCTTTTCCTGCAGCCGCTACGCTTTCTATGAATGGTGAGCTGAATCTGTCTGCAAACGATAAATCCTTCACCTGTACCAGTCCTCTCACAATGAAGTTTACCACAGCAACAGCAAACAACACCTATGCCCTGGACATGGTGGCTATTGATTCACAGATACAGGCATTTGGTGTCACCAATGGTGCTTTCAGTGACGGTATGATATCAGTAATATAGTTACAGGCATTTAATATCACCAATGGTGCTTTCAGTGAAGGTATGATATCAGTAATACAGATACAGACATTTGGTGTCACCAATGGTGATCTCAGTGAAGGTATGATATCAGTAATACAGATACAGACATTTGGTGTCACCAATGGTGATCTCAGTGAAGGTATGATATCACTAATACAGATACAGACATTTGGTGTCACCAATGGTGATCTCAGTGAAGGTATGATATCAGTAATATAGTTACAGGCATTTAATATCACCAATGGTGCTTTCAGTGAAGGTATGATATCAGTCATACAGATACAGACATTTGGTGTCACCAATGGTGATCTCAGTGAAGGTATGATATCAGTAATACAGATACAGACATTTGGTGTCACCAATGGTGATCTCAGTGAAGGTATGATATCAGTAATACAGATACAGACATTTGGTGTCACCAATGGTGATCTCAGTGAAGGTATGATATCAGTAATACAGATACAGACATTTGGTGTCACCAATGGTGATCTCAGTGAAGGTATGATATCAGTAATACAGATACAGACATTTGGTGTCACCAATGGTGATCTCAGTGAAGGTATGATATCAGTAATACAGATACAGACATTTGGTGTCACCAATGGTGCTTTCAGTGAAGGTATGATATCAGTAATACAGATACAGACATTTGGTGTCACCAATGGTGCTTTCAGTGAAGGTATGATATCAGTAATACAGATACAGACATTTGGTGTCACCAATGGTGATCTCAGTGAAGGTATGATATCAGTAATACAGATACAGACATTTGGTGTCACCAATGGTGATCTCAGTGAAGGTATGATATCAGTAATATAACCAAGCCGTAACTCAAGTATGCTTCCTATAAACAATTTTTAATTCATGAATTTACTTCAGTTATGAAGCATTGATGAAATTTGATTCAACAGTATATGTGATATTCTGTCAAAGGTGAATATTGCACAGTTGATAAAAAATGATCTGTTTGATTCTTTGCATTTTGAAAAAATAATCTAAAAAAAAAACAAATTGTGGACACATGATACCAAATGAAAACAGTTCAAATTCAAATACGGTATATTCACTACTTCTTCACTTCTGTACAAGTCTTAATAGGAATACTTTCCTAGGAGTAGTTTATAGATATTTACAGAGTCTGATTAACTTCTCCTATATGTCTAATACACAGTAATGTTTTGACAAACTTAAGTGATATTCATGAAATTAACATTGCTGAATAATGACAGGTATCTTTCGTACATTGGACAGTTGAAATCAAGTAGAAGAAGTTATATTAGTGAAGCAGAATTCTAAATATATACTAATGAGAGTGGACGCATGTCTTAATGCCAGATGGCTTTCACTCACAATGATTTATGTAACTAGAGACAGTGATTTTGAATTTGCTACATGTAAGTATATCACATCAATTAAGGTATGAACCTTTTTTTTAAATCTGTGTTAATTTCAGTTGTGGTTTCTTTTCTAGTAAATGATATACTTATGAATATGTACACCTGAAGGACACATCGTCCATAACCATTTCCTATTTTTTAAATTAAAAAAAAAAGATAAATGCGACACTCCATGAAATCCAACTGAATCATGATTTCCCTATTTAATCCCAGTCTACATTACTTTGATGTCTCAGTTTAGATAACAATTAGTTAAGAAAGCCACCTGGAGTCATTACTGCAAAACTTGTACAGCCTAACAGCTCTGTGCAGAATACAGAAAGAAACCAGCTTTAACATGTTTGGACATTTTGTCATTATTTTAATGGTACATCTTTGATCAAAACTGTTTGAAGTGACTATGTGTTCACCTGAACTTCATGAATATTCATTAAATTTTACACTGAATTGTAACTGAAACATTATCAGAATATTGATGTTATATAGATTGATATAAAGCTAGTTTCCTACTTAAGTAAGAGGAAATGCTAAGGCCCACTACACTGTTCAAAATAATTGACTGCGTCCATTGTCCATCATTTTGTCTGACATTACAGTTCTCGTTATTTCAGGAAAGGTATCATATATTTGATATATCTAGTACAAATTTCATATGTAAACTTGATTGAAAGTTATGCATGTATTGGGACAGGGAAATACAAAATGTTAGAGGTAGATTGTCTCATGCTTCATCATCAAAATAATTGCTTTTTAGGTTCACCGTGTGAAGCTGATCTGGCTAACACCACTGTCTCTACAGAGGAGCCTGCCACAACTGCTGCACCAAATTCAACAGTTGTAACCACAGTGAATCCAAATGAGAATAAAACAACAGAAGCCCCCACAACAGAAGCGCCTACCACAGCAGGCCCAACTACAGAAGCCCCTACCACAGAGGCCCCCACCACTGCCTCTCCATCCATAGGCCCTAAATATTACTTCCCAAATGAGACAGACCCCTGCATTATTGTTGCAGGAAATTTCAAGATAAAAGTGATGTACACAAAAAAGGACAATACCACTGTAAGAATTTGTTTTTGGAGCATCCATTTTAATATCCTGTACCGTGTCGATTTAATACAATTGATGTATGTTATATGATGAACATGATACACTTATAGACAGATAAATTATTCATCGCAGACTTAAAGTACTGTGTTTCATATTCAACCTCTGATAGAAGTTTATAGGGTGTCCTATGAGAAGGAAATTCAAGAAGTTATGTGATAGAAATATGATGTTTTATATATTGGATATCCTGGATGTTTATAACAGGACTACAACATGATTTACCAAAGCGAAATACTTAATGCATATTTCATAGCTGGAAATTGCAGAATGTTTCTATTTTCTTTTTTTTTTTTTTTTTTGGTCAGGGTGATGCAGAGTTGATGGTTCCAGCTACTGCAAAAATTAATGGAACTTGTCCACAGGATTCAAATTCTATGATCACCATGTCATGGAAGCAGACAGGGTCGGAAGCCATGAGGATGGTGCGAATGTCATTCAATTCCAACGCTGATCAAGTTAAGATCAGTACTATCTCCCTGGATGTGACTCTGGACAATGCTACCTTCCCTGACACAAAAGATGGTACTCTTTTTGATTGTTCTATTGAGCTAAAACAATCCACCTTATTTTACAATAGATAGCATTTCCTTTTTATGCATTACATTTTCTAGTATCATGCAACAGTATAGGGTTGTTCAATTCATGAAGTGTATTTCCATTCTCTCCAATATATCTTGAAAATACCTTTGACTCAATTGTACATATATATAATGATAATATATACTATTATCAACTTGTTTTGTAGTTGTTGTAAAAATATAAAGTTGATGTTATATCAACACAGAATGACAGGTTGAAAAACCAATATTATTACAATATACTAAAACATGACAAGAACCCTAACAACAGTAAAAGTGCAAGATATACTTGTAGCTGAAAAACTGTTTAGAGCTTTTAATTTGATTTTGCAGATGAACTGAAAAACGATTTTGATGTAAATATTCCTCTTTCCAAAACCACTGGCTATTACAAATGTGAAGCCAAGGTGGACGTGACACTCGGAGATAACACCTTGTCGATGACAGATGTGGCTATTCAAGCATTCAATGTTAATGGGTCCTCCTTCACAGGCGAGCGTAAGTACAAATTACTGGAGATAGGCATTTACCTCCCTTGAACTGTAGGAGCATTTACCTCCCTTAAACTCTGGTAGCATTTACCTCCCTTAAACTCTGGTAGCATTTACCTCCCTTGAACTCTGGGAGCACTTACATATATTGTACATAGTTATAATGCTTTACTTTTCACAGGCTACAGTCAGATGTTATCAGGCTGCATCAACATATTGTACATAGTTTTAATGCATTACTTTTCACAGGCTACAGTCAGATGTTATCAGGCTGCATCAACATATTGTACATAGTTGTAATGCGTTACTTTTCACAGGCTACAGTCAGATGTTATCAGGCTGCATATTACATCAATGTTCAAGCAAGAATGGTTTTGTGCTAGATATTATGAACTTCTGCTGATGTAATGTCTTATTTGCCAAGGAAGTTTTAGTCAACTAGAGGATATTTTTGTTTAGAGTTAGGGGAGGTTGTGACCCATCAGTCTTGTTACATATGCAGTCATCCAAAGTTTGAAACATGTTATGTCTTTGTTTGATCACAGGTGAGGAATGTGCAGCAGACAGTCCAACAACTGTGGCCCCAGTTACAACCCCTGCCCCCGTTACTCCAACCCCAGGATCACCACCTACCAATAAATATACATTCGCTGGGAACTGCATTGTCCTCAGCGCTGGGCTCGAATTTGTCATCCCTTACATGATGAAAGACGATAAAGTGAGCTTATCATCTGAAAGTATAGATAAAAGTTTTTTTTTACTGATATCTGCATTTTAAGGTATGATTTCTGATAACTTAGGAATATACATACAATTAGATCATTTCTTACTGTTCCGTATCATTGTTTTATAAATGGTGTTCTCGATTTAAACTTGCTCATGGATCCTTTTTTTTCCCCCTTAAAAGCGATTTTCTATAGATCTCTCATCCAAATTTTTATATCAGTGTAGAGCTAAAATAATCACAAATGCATTTAGATAAAATTGTTGTTTTGTTCATATTTTTCAGAACGGTAGCGTCACTGTTGGAATCCCAAAAAATTTTACAACCAATGGATCCTGTGGAAATGTCACTCAGATGCTGGAAGTGACATTCTATGAGGAATGGAAAATGCAAATGATGTTCAATGGAGGTGGAAGTGCAAGTCTCCTTGCGGATAGTGACAGTTTCTACCTTGAGGAGATAAAACTTACCTATGTCCTGCAGCCCGATATTTTCAAAGATGCTAAGAACGCTAATGGTATGGCTGTACTCCTGTACATTGTCTATAAGTTTACTGAGGTCCCTAGTAGGTGATATGTTAGGAACAGTGAATGCCACACCCTTTATTGAACTTGTATCCCTATGCTTAACACATACTTTGATGAATTTTTAGCCCACCATGATCAGACTGTGGACCGTTGAAATTGCCCATAGTCCATAATTGTTCTGAAACAATTTTTGTTATTGCTATTTCTTAAAATTTACTGGATGGATCTTTCCCAATCCCAAATTTGATACAAAGGTTCATTGGTTCATAGTGGTGCTCTTGATTTTAAGATTGATCAGAAAAAGACAAAATGGCTGAAAGGTGACTCTCTTGGATTTTGACTGTAAAAGTTTATTGTCCTATTTTTTTAAAGAAATACCATCTTTCTGATATGCAGATTCCTGTTGGATCCTATTTGTGCCCTTTTTAACCATCTTTGATTTTACAATTAAAGATTATCATTGCTATTTTATTAGAGGGCATCTCAAGTTTCATATAAATTAAGAGGAAAGAATAGAAAAGAAAGGAAAAGTTCCTACTTTTAAAGAACAAATGAAAATTAAACAATAGTATGTACCACAATCCCTCTCAGATCTCTTGATTCAGTTTCCAGGAATTCCATTATCGTTGGTTTGTGTATCAGTTGCATTCTTAAACTAAATATTTCTTATTGCTTCAATTTCATCAGAGTAAAGGTGATGACAATAAAAAAAACCCTTAAAAAAGTGAAATGAATCAATATTCATGCTTATAACAATGTTATGTAGAGACAAAGAATTTAATTACCTTCTGATTCTCTTCTGATTGTTTGAAATCTTGTCATAAAAATAGAGACACATCTGCAGTTATAAGTACCTCTCGATATGAGAATTCTTCAATTAAAAGTAGACGGTAGAGCCAATGATGTGAGAATTCTTCAATTAAAAGTAGACGGTAGAGCCAATGATGTGAGAAATCTTCAATTAAAAGTAGACGGTAGAGCCAATGATGTGAGAAATCTTCAATTAAAAGTAGACGGTAGAGCCAATGATGTGAAAATTCTTCAATTAAAAGTAGACGGTAGAGCCAATGATGTGAAAATTCTTCAGTTAAAAGTAGACGGTAGAGCCAATGATGTGAGAAATCTTCAATTAAAAGTAGACGGTAGAGCCAATGATGTGAGAAATCTTCAATTAAAAGTATGATGTGAAAATTCTTCAGTTAAAAGTAGACGGTAGAGCCAATGATGTGAGAAATCTTCAATTAAAAGTAGACGGTAGAGCCAATGATGTGAGAATTCTTCAATTAAAAGTAGACGGTAGAGCCAATGATGTGAGAAATCTTCAATTAAAAGTTGACGGTAGAGCCAATGATGTGAGAAATTTTCAAATTTTAGATTTAGAAAATATTATGTTGGACAGTTGGAAAGTAAATAAAATAAATGAAATATTGACTTCATTGTCATAGTAACAAGACCATTCGCTCCTTCTTGACAATATCTTATTCTTCCACATTTTTATTTCCCCATTTAACAATACAGAATATATACAGATATTTTCAAGCAGGAGATTGGTGTAAAAAAATGATAATGGAGAAGTCCAATGTATTTAAGGATTGCTTTCTTTGAACATTTGGATCACACATACTAAATTCAATATGTGGTTATCCTAATGTCAATACACCATTATTCAGACATAGAAAGTTTGTTTAAGGGGGAGCATATTGATGCTGCCATGTTGTCGGTTCATCTTTAGTGTGTGTAGCTTTACTTTGACCACACTTCAGCAAGGATTTCCAGGATATTGTCCATATTTGATCTGAAGCTAAATTTGGTGAAGGAAAAGCAATTTTGTATAAAGCATGGTTTTCAGTCCCCAGGTCCATACAATCATAACTGATGACTTGTTCTAGGGGTAGGACATACAATCATAACTGATGACTTGTTCTGGGGGTAGGACATACAATCATAACTGATGACTTGTTCTAGGGGTAGGACATACAATCATAACTGATGACTTGTTCTGGGGGTAGGACATACAATCATAACTGATGACTTGTTCTGGGGGTAGGACATACAATCATAACTGATGACTTGTTCTGGGGGTAGGACATACAATCATAACTGATGACTTGTTCTGGGGGTAGGACATACAATCATAACTGATGACTTGTTCTGGGGGTAGGACATACAATCATAACTGATGACTTGTTCTGGGGGTAGGACATACAATCATAACTGATGACTTGTTCTGGGGGTAGGACATACAATCATAACTGATGACTTGTTCTGGGGGTAGGACATACAATCATAACTGATGACTTGTTCTGGGGGTAGGACATACAATCACTACTGATGATTTGTTCTGGGGGTAGGACATACAATCATAACTGTTAATTTGTTCTGGAGTCATGACAGATTATATCTTTGAAGTTATTGTAATTATCGTCCCATAACATAATAGTATGGCTGGACATCAAGAATTTCTGATCTAGGAAATTTGAAGCTATATCTGTGGGGTGTGGCTCATCAGGGGAAATATTTTCCTTTTAAAGAAATGTAAATTTTTGCATTATTGACTTAAATATTGAGGAGAGCGATACAATCCCTCTGAGCCTCTGGTTTGTGTCCAGAGCATTACTTTGCCTGCATTTAAACTAGGATATTAAAATGTGATGTATATGTCAGTCATACAAAAGCAAGGTGAAGAGGAGCAAAGTCTGGGCCCATAACCCCTCAATACAGAGTTATTGCCCTTTGTTCAAATTTAGTGTCATTAGCATAGCCTTGCATGCATTAAAACTAGGATCATGAAACTTGGTGTATATGTTGGTCATATAAAGAAAATGTGCAGTATACAAAATTCAGGGCCTGCAAACCTTTTATTACAGGATTATTGTCCTTTGTTAAAATATGTGTCCAATACTCATTTTTGGGGAACATTCATCAGTTTCAATGATACACTTATTTTTTTAAAATATTTTTTTCATTTGATAAGCACAGATTTTCATAAAAATATAGTATTACGTTGAACCTGAACAGGAACATTTTACTAAAGCATTAGGTGGTGCAATCTGGATATCATTGACAATACCCAGATCAAGAAAATAGTTACAAGACCAAATGTTGAAATAATGTTTTTGTTGACTTTTTGTTAATATACCATGTAACTTCAAATCTGAATGTCTAAAATGCTTCTTTGCATTAAAGCATGTTTTATATACAATTAAGGGATATTCAAGTGAACACAATACATTTGCATACAGTTATGATAAAAGTTATTTACTTTTGCAGTTTGCCAGGTGTCATCTTTGATCAATACAAATCTCACAAAGCTTCATCACCATTGATGTCTTTGCCACTGATAACTGTACTGATGTTTTTCTCTTTTTTTTTCACAGTTAAAATGGTAGCAAACAGTACTTTTGATTCATCACAGTTTTCTGCTAAAAAAACGGGAAGTTATGAATGTAATAGCAAATTGGACTTAAGCTTGAACAATGGTGTGACATTGAACACAAACAACCTCCAAGTAAAGGCATTCTCAGCAAAGAACTCAACTGACTTCCCAAGTGGAGGTAAGTTTGCTTTCAACATAAGCAATTGTCTTCTCCTCACCAGGCTGAAGAGTTTAACTGGTGTCATTGTCTGAATTTTTTTTTTTTTTTTTTTGTCATTCTTGTTTTGTGAAAATTAAAGTTTGGTTTGGGTTTTGTATACATCTGTAATTAATGTATAACAAATGTAAACATGTCTGGAAGATTTTTTTCTTTTTATTTGCAACAAAGTCATTTTAATTTAGGTAAGAAATTAACTTAAAGTGCAGTTTCTTAGAAAGTGGAACTGTCTTATTTTATGTAGATATTGTATGGTGTACCACTCAAGTGTTAAACAGAGATTTGGTGAAAACATCTTTGAGATTTTCATAATTGTGAATGACTTGAGTTTTAGATTCCATTTCATTCATTTATTTATACTCAAGGGTCTTTAGCATATCAGATAAATTATTGGTCCTTTTTTTTGTTGAAATTACTATGAAATTTGTCATTCAAGAAAGTTAAAACCGGGAAGATATTTCTTCATAGAAGCAGTCAACCACTATCTGTTATCTGCAAATAAAGTCACTAAAAGTATGTAAATGAGAATATGATAACAATTGTTAAGAAAAGGAACATGGTAGATATGTATCACAGATATTTGAGAAAGATGATAAAGCTTAACACCATTGTTTTCCTCGTCCATTTCAGATTTGTCAGAGTGTCCACAGGATTCCGACACCAACAGTGTTGTACCTATTGCGGTTGGAGCAGCTTTGGCTGGTCTGGTGGTTATTGTTTTAATAGCCTACCTTATTGGTCGTCGTAGAAGCAGGAGCGGCTACCAACAGGTGTAGGCCATCAGCATCCTGTGTCTCAAGAATGTGATATCAGCTTCCATATCAAAAGGCTGTCAATTTTCGGCTTATATATATTTCTCATGTGGATTTAAACAATTGGACAAGCAAATCTTACAGCCATCTTTTTTTGTTTATTGCTTTTGGAGATAAAAAGATATGAAAACATGAGAAAAATGATCACACGAAAATATAAGAACTTCATTCTAAATTTATTTTTTATTTTTTCCAAATGTGAAGTAAATAGGAAGAATTAACATCCAAGTACAGGAGTCAACTAAGCAGTGTTTGATTAAATCCCTGCAATTTCATATAAATCAATTTTTATTTTCAAAGAGTGATTCTGATAAAAAAAAAGATATATTGGCTTTGAACAAAGAGAAATGTCTCTATAACAGTGATATTTCACTTATATGTGAAGATGTTGAGTGTTTCTGAGTAAGAATCAGTGTATGTAATAGAGTTTCCTGTGGAAACTTAACATTTTCCAGACAATTGGTGATTAGTGGAGGTTTGGAAACGCTAACATTAGAAGCTTCAATACATTGATGTTAAAATTACTGCCCTTCCTTTTAAATAAAAAAAGAAATAAGATCAAGTGGGATAGGAATAATTGTAAAATGAACAGCTCACCAACACTGGCAATTTTGATGCAGAACAAATGTTATTCTTGTGTTCACCTTACACATTGTAATTTCATGCATTTTTCAAATGAATTTTATATTTATAAGAAGTAATTCTTTCATCAGAATAGATTATCATTTGTATCTTGAACTACATGTACTATAAAAGATGTTTTTCCTCACTCAATTTCCAATAACAATTTGTTAACAATTTATTAGGATTTGAAAATATAGATAAAATGAAAAACATTACTTTTTGTAGATTACTAATAATAAAACTTGCTTTTAACTTCTTCTGTGTTTACGTACCATAATTTACACCTCCAGTTATTTTACGATAAAATTTCAGTAAGAGTATAGAAATGTTGCACGACTTTGAGCACTACAAATCACAAAGTGACTTAATCGTATCTTGTGTTGAAGTCTTTGTGGTGTTTAATGAATAGTAAGTAAGATGAAATCCATAATTTGAAGTCTTTTGTTACATCATCCATATTCTGACCAATTAATAAGTATTTGTTTGAAAAACAAACAAAAAAAAAACATGCTTTTAAGGGAGGGGGCGGGGGGGATCTCCCAAATTTGAATAGTAAGTTAGAAAGTTTTGCAGTCCTTGGGAATTTCCTTTTGCCAAATTTCAAGGAATGAAAATTTAGATAGTAGAAACAGTAATGTTGGGGCCAAATATTTCTCATGTTTGTGGGTGTCATGAAAGTTCTAGGTGGTGGTACAATAAGATTTCACTATAGATATCAGAAAATGTTCATTCTTGTCTATCTCAGTACGTTTTTTTAACTACATAGTTTGTGATTTTGCTTTTGGAGTGCTGTACAGTTTATCATTGGAATGCTTTACATTTTACTATCAGAATATAGAATATCTCAAATGGCCTACATTAGTATGTAGTGAGGTTTTGGGGATTTTATTAAGACTTTGTTTTATTCCAAGTCATATCAAGAGATTGATCTCTCCTTTAACAGTTGAACAGGGGTTTTAATGTGGTCAAGAGCAAGGCAGTATGGAAGTGCTGTAGAAATATTGGATTTTCATATTTGTACAAAAATCATTTAATAATAAGTATCAGACAGAGTTGGTCAATCAGAATGATATATTATTATTGAAGAGAATTACTTAATGTATTTGATATATGTGTATGTTCCTCATTCCACTTACAAGATGTTTAAATTATGACTTTGATTGTAATTAAATGTTTATTGAATGAAGTGTGAGTGCAAGCAAAAGGGAATGTAAATGTCTTTGTAGTACAAATTGTTTATGTTGAGTGAACATGTCTGAAAAAAAGAGTTGAAATTTTCATGAATACTTACAAAACAAAGCATGTATATATATTATATATCTTGCATGTTGCAATACTCAAATTGTAATTGTCTGGTAATAATGGGAGAACATTCCACACCTATTTTCATTTTCTTCCTACTTGTCAGTGATTAAGTCCCAATATATTGGTCCACAGTATTTTTTAACAATGATGATGTAACAGTAATTCTTCCTAAACAAATCATGAGTCTGATATCACATGACAGATCTACCGTAATAATGAAATCGTAAGAGGGGAGATAACTCCTTCATCCATGGTGTGGATTTCTAAATTGGTTCAATTTGAACAAAGGGGTTGACATTTTTTAGTTTAGCATGCTAGAAAACAACAAATTATTTTTTGTCAAATACAAGAACAGGACATTCCAAAGTGCTCAGACGTCCTTAACTTTCTGTGTGGTGTTTTGCTGACATGAAAAATTTATTTTGTAAGACTTGACTGACATTTATTCTTCAAGTAAATTTTAATGATATCGATAATTTTGGTTTCCATTGTATGGCTCAATATTTCAGTTACCAAGAAATAGAAAAAGTACTGGACAAGTTCTTATTACTCTTGTCTGTATCAGAATTTATTTTTGGAAAGGGGAGGATTATATTTCTTATACATTCTAAATCTTAAGAAAACGAGGAATAATTTATCATTAATGACAACAAGGAAAATTTTGTTGCTATTAAGAGTATGTCAGCAATGTCGTCATACCAACATTTGATTGATGGAATTTTTTTTTGTAATATACAAAGATAATATATTTATTGCTCTACAAAGTTTCTAGTATACTATGTTGGTGCCATGATGTGAAAAAGTGCTTTTGGAGGGAGTAGTGAACAAAGTGCTTAGGGGTGCATCATTGTAGACAAAGTAGGCAAGTATTGTAGTTGTGCAAACCTCTCTTTTTTTTGTTCTTTCTGTGATTGTTTATGGATAATATATATAATGATGAGAAAAAATAATTATAATCACCCAATCGGTTTGCTTATAACATCTGATTTAAAAACACTTGACGTTTGATTTGGATTTGTTTGCTTAAGCTTCTAAGGCAGATGTTATATTGAATATGGTAAATAAAATTACTTAACCTCTTTATCTCTTGTTCATGGTTGTAGTTTCAATGTTTGGATGGAATTTCTGAAGTTTTATTACTTCACCAATATTTTTATACAAAAAGTTTCAGGATATTATACCATTTATTTCTTAACCCCTTAACTTCAATTTGAATACAAACTCAAAACCTTGATACCATCTAATTACATTTTTCTCATCTGTAACTAGTTATTGTGTGATTACATCAGTTGAAACTGCGAATTTTATCACAATATACCTTGTTATCAGTGGGATAAATATTTGTTTTCTACACGCTGATTTAGTGGAACTGAAATATGGTTTAACGTTCCTGTTTCTACAGTGCCATGATAAGAACTCTAACATAATAATTAAATACAAAATCGAGAGTTTACACAAATGAGATTTTGTATTTGTTAATGTTTATAATGTTTTCTGACATGTTATAATAATTCCTTGATGACCAAATCCGATTCCAATTCAGTCCGGTTAACAGGCGAACAGACCATACAAAATCATCTTCATCTTGATGTAATATTTAATAAACCAGTCAGAAGGATGCACAAAAGTGGTAATTCCTTTAGATATAGTTCTAATATTTTGCCGAATAATCTCACTGCATCATACAGATATCTCGACCTTTTAGGTCTCATCAGTGTTGAAACCCTGAAAGGTGACAGGAAAATCAAAATTGGTCGAAATATGCACGTCATAATTTTCAAGACTGGTAGGTTTCAAAGGATTATCAGATACATATTTACAAATTTAGAATATGGCACGGAGTGTTACTGCCAACCTCAAAGTCCACAAGGTAGGTCTGTCATCTACAAAACCAAACAATTGTCCAAAAATAGATTGTAATTGTTATCAATAAAAGTTGATAAAATGGCTACAGAGGCAGGAAATCTGAAAACTTGTATTGCATTTTTGATGGAAATTGTATGAAATTATGTTAATACCTTTGGAATCCTATTGGTGATTTTTTCAAAAATCATTTTAAATATACCTGACATCTGTAATGTAAGTATAGACCTTAACACCTTAAAATAAATACAGTAGACAGCAGGGAGAGCCTTATAAAAAATCCCATTAATTCACGTCACCGCAAAAAAGAGGGGCAGGTAACGGCAATCCGGCAATAAAACACAGAAACTGATAACTGAATCGATACACTGGAAACAAGAAATATTAACTAATACTCGCTCAGCAAGAGTTGTACACAGAGTATCCGTGAATTACTGCTGGCGATTAACGTTTATACAAAAGTAGAGTTATGACCTGTTTAAAAAGCAAAAGAATCCAATGTAGAAAAGTTGGGTATACCTGTACCATTCACGTGTGTACACTGACAACTGTTCAGCTGCCTTTGTTCTACACCCGACATACATTATTGTGCGTGTTTTTAAACAATTATATGAATCATGATGGTTGTCTGAAGGGAAAAGCACGTGACGGAAATAAAATTCACTCAGTGAAAATTATTCAGCATCTTGTCTACACGTTTTTGTTTACCAAGGTGAGATCAGCTGGAGAAAAGTGAACCTTAATTTGCATTATGTTATTTTTCACTAAAGTGATTATCATTACCTTAATTTGAATAAATTATTTACATTATGTTATTTGTAACTTAAGTCAAATTCTTTTTCACTTCAAAAGAAGTGAAAAATATCCTTGGAGAGACAACAAGATTGAATGATTAAACGACTTGGCTAAATGTAGAAACGGCTTGCCGAAATTTCAATACACACAGTATAACATATTCGACACACACGGGACAACAACAGACAGCCAAAGGTTATAATTAATACAATCACAAAATCTGAACATAGTATTTTATAGATATCTGTAAACTAGTGCTGGTGACCAACATTCAGTCGAAGTTCGATTAAATGCCGTGACCTACTTTTAGACAGAAAGGTAGTAATTGGTACACCTGCACTAGCCCTGTTTGTATACCTGTCTTACAACTGACAGTATTGATTTGCTCTAAATAAACCATTCCTACTTTCCTTTTTCCTGGAAGTAAGTGGTTTTTAAAATTGCAATTTACCAATTTGCCTGCAAGGGAAAATGGTGATTAGCTTTCGCTTCTGTCGGCGATGTCGGAAATAACTATTCAAATTAGTTTTACAATCAGAATTAAAATTTGAATACTTCACGAAATTATTAAATAAAATACACCTCTCTCTCTCCCTCCCCCCCCCCTCTCTCTCTCTCTCTCTCTCTCTCTCTCTCTCTCTCTATCTATCTCTCAGCTATGTCTACATAATAGAATGTACGCACGTGAAGCATTGTAGTCCATGAATGCATTCAAAGGACGTATTAAAGACGTTAATGAACGTGAATTTTGACATTTTATTTATAGCCTACATTATTTACAACTATGCAATATTTCATACAAGAAAATCACTAACTACACATACTCTCTTGTGAAAGTTATTTGCATGATATACTTCCGAAGGTTAAAACACGTGTAATTGTGTGTTTGCTGTCAATTAAGTAAGCCCCCTTTCAGATCAAACTGTAGCCACTAAGACTGTCGGTGGTTCACATTTTCCATCACAGATATATACATTGTTTTATGTCAGAATCTGATTCCTTGTACGCTAGCATGTATCATTCAAATTATTTTTCAACTTAATAAATTGTGTTTGTATGCTAAGTGACATCCTTGCCAAAATATTAAAATATTTCACATTGATAAGCGATAAATGAGTATAAAATCTGTTCACATCCGCTTACTTTCAAATGCATGTCTTAAACTCACGATGTGCTTAGTCGAATCCGATTTTTTTACGAAAATGCCTTTCATTCTGACCTGGGTTCGGCTTCGTCCTATTTCTCTGTCACATATGTCTTTATCGTCTTTCAATAGTGAAAGATCGGTATATTGTGTTTTAAAATCACACTGGTAAGGTAATATAGTGGCTTTGTCGTTGTTTCGATAGTCGAAATTATTATTCGTAATATTTATGGCACAACAATTGCCGATTCATTCGTAGCCACTCAGGTGAAGGCAAATTACCTAAGCCTTCATAAAAGGCGTTGTCGTTGGTCAAATGTGCCTATAGCTGGAGGGACCCACTGTGTTACAAGATATCCCCGTACTTTGGAACCGTATCTAATGTGGTTCACAGTATCCAATATGACTGGACACTTCTGG